GAAAAGAAAAGAAAAGAAAAGAAAAGAAAAGAAAAGAAAAGAAAAGATGGTTAATATGGAATGTCAACTTTCTGACCCACATTCAGGCATCTCTTCTTAGGTAGAAGAGACATGGAAAGAAAATTGCCAGACTGCAGTATGCTTGGCTTTGCCTACTCACTGCCTTTTTATAAGTTGATTAGTGTTCATTATTTAAAAACCAAGAGTTTTAAGGAGGTAATTCTAACTATTTCATTTCTTTTGAAAGCTCAGCTACTTAGGCAATAATGGCCTATGTCTCTTCATGGCAGGCAGCTGGGGCTGGGTAGCAGAAGACAGCTTTAGAGCAAACCTATACTTCCCAGTTGGCCCATAAGCCTCGGCCACTGGTGTTCTTGCCTGGTGCCTACAGATAGAGTTGTAGATGCCTCCTATTGTCCAAGTTTGGAGAAATCTTTCAAACCTTAGCCCTGTGCATTTTCAAAGGCGGGCTACTCCAACTTACCCCAAAGAAACTTCTTTGATCTGAACGGCTCAAACAATCCCTTAACCTCCAGATTGTTTAAAAGGTTATTTGATTTCTCTCTTCTATTCTCTGCCAGCCCATTCTCCCCCCAGAGAGTTTGTTCTGTTCTTTTGCTTTAAAAAGGAAACCAAAGTGTGACTACACATCTATTCTCCAAAGACCATAGCTCTTCGAGGCTGAGAGCCAGATGCCTGATTTGTTTTCCATCCAGAGCTGTACATACAGAAAAAGTCACCGACACAAGGCCATTCTGCCTTTGACCTTCCTAGGGCTGAATGCACAGCTAGTCAACACTGGAGCTGAAAATAGAACCCAGGACTTTCAAATCATTGTTCTGCTCGCTGGGCCGTGCTTCCTCCCATAAGAACTTGGTTAAACAACGTCCTGTTTTGCAAAAGCAGAAATCATAATACACTATGAGAAACTATACACGGAAGAAACACAGGCCTCAACTCTCGGAAAAGTCAGCATGGTAGGATAAAAGGGGTGCGAATTCATTTCTAGCACTGCAGCTTATAGATTGGGTACACTCAAGAAATGTGTGTTGACTCATCGACTTTGTAATGTGTGGCATTTTGAACAGGGAGTTCTCACTGAGTGCCAAGAATGTATTTGCTTGACAACCCACGGAAAGGGAATTGAGGACACTAGAAAGGTTATCATGGAAATGACTGAACGGGTCTATAAAAATGGTCAGGGACCTGGAGTCTGGGTGTGAATTTTCAGCATAGAGTAGCAAGTGTCATAGGGAGGAAACTGAGGTCTGGTAACACTGTGATTCTTAGCCTGGTGTATATGTGTGGGCCGTGGAGAGCACAGAAAGCAGACCTGAACAGTAGGAGGGTTGGGAGTAGCTGACACTTTCCCAAGCTCCCAGGAAGAGTGCAGAACTCTCTCTCCTGCCACCACTGTGCAGAGGACCCACCTGTCTTAGGGTCATCACACTGCATTGGTTTTCAGTGAGCTCTCCGAGGGCAGGACCTGCTCCTAGCACACAGCCTGTCCCAGGAGGCAGCAAAGCCAGACCTAGAACCAGACTTTCTGAGTTTGAGTCCTGGCTCTACAATGCCTCAGCTGCGAGACTTTGGACAAGTGACTTTCCTCTCTGTTTCTCAATGTTCTCATTTGTAGGACAGAGATAGTAATAATAGCTCTTACCTCAAACTCATTATGAAAATTAAGTGAGTTACCACTTGTGAAGTTGTTAGAATGATACTTGGTATATAATATGCACTCATGAAGTGTTAGTTATTAGAGACCAACTGTACGTCATCTATGAATGGTTATTCTAGCTAACAATACAGGATAGTTAGAATATACCTGGTGACTTAAGCACTTTGCACGGATTACCCCACGCAGTTTTAAAAACAGGACCATGGCACAGCTACTCTTGTTGCTCTATATTATAGATGAGGCACTGAGGCACAGAAGGGTTGAAAAACTTACTCAAGGCCACATAGCTGGTGAGTGACAGAGGAAAGATTTGAAACTATATGGTCTGATACCACATCTTTCACCAGCATTCTGGCAATAAAGTACAGATTTCCTGGGAGCCACACTGAGGTAAAAGCTGCTTTATGATGTTCCTACAAGGCTCAAATATATTCATTTATTGACACTTTGAAGGTAGGAAAAAAGTACACATATGAGATGATGGTGATGAGTAATAAACACATGAGAAATCCAGCTCTTATTAGGCTCATTTAGCATATCAAAAGGTGTTAAAAATAATAATTAGCCCTAGGAACTAAAGAACAAGTAAAACCAGTCATTTTGACACACCAAATGCAATTTGATATGCAAGTGTCATGCTCTCAGGATAACAGCCATTGAATAAATTAACAAAAGTGCTTGTAGGGAACTGGAGCGCCGTGATCTTTTGCTTGTTTCTTCACTAAAACGTACTTAGTTATGTTATCTTTTACTTACTTACATTCTTTATCTCTGAATAGTATCCTCAGCTCTAAACATGAAGAGAAATGATGAGATTATTTTTCTCTTCTCCAAATGACTTGAAACATTCTGGTGTTATGGAAAGCAAACCAAACGTGAGGTTGAGAGATAAGGTTTCTGGCTCTGACTTCATTATCAAGTAACTCCCTCTAGAACCTGAAGCAAATCTCCCAGGCTTCCTGGGCTTCCAATTTCTCTAAAAATTTCTCTAAAAGCAGATCTTTGGAAGCCATTGATTAAAAAATTTCTATACCTTTAATAATTTTTTGTTTTCTTCCTGGGAATTTTCATTACAGGGCATACCTTTCCCCATCTCCCAAACATCTATTTTGACCTTTCTAGAAGCAGAGTATTTTACAATTAAAACACACATTAATTTAATCTTTTCTATTCCCCTTCCTTTTTTCTTCCTCCTCTTTTTCTTTTTCTTCTTCCTCTTCCTCCTCTCCTTCTTCTTTTCCTCCCTTTCTTCTTCTTTCTTCTCCTCCTCCTTCTTCTCTTCTCCCTCCTCCTCCTCCTTCTTCTTCTTTTTCTTCTTCTCCTTCTCCTCTTCCTCCTCCTCCTTCTTCTTCTTCCCTGAAATACTGTCACTGAACTAACAGTTCATCTTAGATTTCAGGCAAAAAACAAAACCTAAACCAAAAGAACATAACATTCACCACCACAAACAATAGCTAAAGCTATTCCAAAGACTTGGTTGATGTGTGCATGTACTTGTGCGCTGAAAATAGAGAAAGAGCACTCAAAGTATCATTACTGCTTCATTTCTTTAAGTTTCAGGCCCTCTTCCTGGGAATGCATTGTATTTTCTCTCTAGTGGTTATGATCCCTGTGTCCCCCCTACCCTTGATGACAGCACTCTATCAGAGACACAACACTTTTAAATACTAAAATGTCCCAATGCATTTGATTCTGCAATCATATGCATGTATCAGTGACTAATCTGTGTAAAGCCAAGTCATTTCTTTGCAGTCAGTCATCTGAGAATACCAAGGGGCCCTCCTTTACTCCAGGCATATCCAAGTGGGAGAACAGCTGTTCTTTGTTTCAGGAAAGGATGGGGCAAAGGTTAGCTCATGGGTAGAGTTTCCTGTTTGTAATGTCTGAAACCAAGGGAGGTGCCAACAGTTTGGAAGCTTTTATTAAAGAGGAGATAATTCTTGCAGAGGTAAAGTTATGATGAAAATAAAATTCCTTCCCCAGTTGATGTTTCGGTACTACACATGTGCCAAAGACTAATCATACAATTTCCCTGCTACCATCCTTCCAAGGCTCCTCTTTCCTTGCCAGATAAAGTTCAAACCCTTCAGAACTGTCTAATCTCAGAATTATTTGCAGTTCTATGAACTCACCTAGTTCCGTTGTGCTTGGAATGGCTTTCCCACATGTCCACCTGGACAACCCACTTGCTAAGATTTAGTTAGCTCAGGTCTCATTTCCCCATGCAACTTCTGGTAGCTCATCAGTTAGGATAAGAGCCTCTTCCTTGTGGTCTCAAAGCATCCCATGTGTCCCTCTCTATCCAAGGGATTCTCAAACCTGGCTGCACAATGGAATCACCAGAAAACCTATCAAATATGCCAATACTCTGGCCCTGCTTGGAGCTTGGTCACACTGCTCTGGGTTGGGGTCAGGCTTCTCTATTTAGTGTAATCAGAAAGTTCTAATGTGCAGCCAATGGTGTGAACCACTGATTTATCATAAACGTTACGACATATTGTATTAAAAGTTTTGTTGAACCCCCTCCAGATTAAGTTTCTTGAGGAATGGAATTTTTTTTATAGTGGTATGAATAGCCTCTGAAATTAAAAAAAAAAAAACATCAAATACTGGCAGTGTTCCCTAAGTAGTGTACGAGGAATGAATGAGTGAAGAACACATACACATCCCAACTTTCTACCCACCTATGTTGAGAAGCTCACTGATGCTCATGCAATTGTTCAGCATAAGACATGTGGAAAACAGAAGAATCAATGTGGATCCCATGTGTCTGGGGACAAAGGATCTAGTTTAAGAGAAGTTTCTGAGAAAACAAAATAAGGCCTAACAGAAAACCTGGCAAATTTTGAATTAGTTAAGAGGAATGATGAAAAAAATAGAACCATGAAATCTGACCCACGCAGGAACTTTGAGAGAAACTAATGCAAGAGATTTGGGGGCTGGAGATCAGGAGATTGGGAAGAGATTAACTTCTACCTACACAGGATAGAAATACAAGGTACGTGGAGTCTGTCCAGAAGAGACTTAGCTTTCCCTTAAGACTCAGGGTCCAAGGCCTTAGTGAAGGTATCCTAGCAGCCAGAAAGGGAATCAGTAGAGTGGGAGTCAAGCCTGAGCATCACTAGAATATGTTATACTGTAAATGTGGTTCTACAAATCTATATTTTTTGGGTCATAGTATGTGCTAAGTGATTTACATGTTAACCATCTAATGTGCAACCTTAGGCACATGAAGTAGGCTTCATTATCACCAGCTTTACAGATGAGGTGATACAGAGGTGATACAGAGGTTTAGGGCAGTTTGGTAAGAGTCCCAAGCTACCTGTAATATAAATAGTAAATGTCACCTTCTAAATGGCTCGTGAGTATCACTGACCTGATGACACCACCACCCTCCTCACCCCTCATGCAGGAGAGATAGGAGAAAATGGAAGGATGGGCTGGAATTCCAGGTTCTCAAATCTAAGAAGAGGGCTTTCCCTGTCAAGTCCTGCCAGGGGGCTAGAAGACAGCAGGTGAAGGAACCTCTTGTTGATGGTTGTCTCAAGTGTTTTGATTTTAAAAACTCCAACTTGTTTAGGACCAGTATCACTAAGTAGCCTTGAAAGGTGAGCCCACAAAGCTCTCCACTTCTGGATTCCTAGTGACTGTATTTGCTGGAGGCACATGCTCTTTCTCAGAGGAAGGAAGATGGACAAGAACACTTAGAATTCAACAATTCTACTAGATGGAAGAAGGCTTGGTTATAAAGTTTGGACAGTGAACTTACCTGGGTGGCTCTGTCAGTTAAATGTTTGACCCTAGATTTCAGTTCAGGTCATGATTGTGGGGTTGTAAGATCAAACCTCACAT